TCCCGCTCCGAGCGCTCTACTCTGTCCTGGTACTCCGCCACGGTCTCCTCCAACAGAGCGACGATCTCCTCTGCGGCCGCCGTCAGCCGCTCGGTCAGCAGCGCTCTCATCGTCGGGAGCTCGGCTGCTTCTTCTCCCTTCTCCAGCCGCAGCAACAAGTCTTCGGCGGCGGCGCTGATCCGCTCGTGGACCGACACTCGCAGCAGCTGCACGGTGCACATTCTGCGGCTTCTCCCTGCCGGGAGCCTCCGGGACAAAGAGAGCCAGCGGGAATGTAAACACGCTGCGAGTTCCGCGTCGAGGAGCGCAGTGCGGAGAGAGCGAACAGCGCCCCTGCTGAAGCGGAGGCTTTCGGAGTCAGAGGAGAGTTCCGGAGTCTCCTTGCTACTTTCTGGTTGTGCGGGACATTTTTAGCCAGAAGTTAACGGCATGTGAGTCAGGAGCTGAAGCTGGAACAGATCAGAAAGCCCTGAGAAAAAGGTTTCACATTCAGTGATAGCAAACCATGGTTTACTCCGAATCTCAGCAAGGTCATTCTGGTGATCCACTGACAGGTGCCCCTTCACCTGTCAGTGGATCACCAGCTTCCTGACTGACAGGCAGCAGCTGCTGAGGCTGAGGAGCATCACAATGGCACACACAGACCATCAGCACCGGCCTGCCCCAGGGGTGTGTTCTCTCCCTACTGCACTTCTTCCTCTACTCTGATGACTTCACCTCAGGAGAACCATCTGTGAAACTCCTGATCCAGAACAATGACAAGTACACATGCAGACAGGAGGTGATGCAGTCAGAGCCTGGAGCTGAACCCACTGAAGCCTGTGAAGATGACAGTAGACCTTTTGGAGAGAGTCTATAAACTACAAACTATTTTTAGTTTTCTTTGCTCTTTTTTTCCATTTTCTGTGTCCTCCTGCAAGTCTTTTGGCCTTTTTTCAATCAGCCATTTCCTCCTCTCGTCAGACTCCAGCTCTGTCTCTGTGGGGCTGTCTTCTTCCTACAGCCTTGTGAAGAACAGGTTCAAAGTATTTGAATTTTGGACTGATGTACTGCAGTTGAGTAGAACTACTTACTTACATTTCTCCGCTGTTACTCTCAGTAAATCCACCAGAACAATAGATTAAAATGTTCTTATACACAATAGAAAATTGAAGCAAAACATTAATGGAATAATGCAACATGATACCAGCTCTAGAGTAAAAAAAAAACAAAAAAAAAACACACACACACACTGGGCTGAACATAAGACCCTCCACAGAATGTCACATCACCCTCAACTCTTTGTTTCTAGTATATTTTTGTTTGTTTTTCAAAGAGAAACTTCCTTTTTAAACTTTAGCTAATTGATCATGCTTTTTAAGTTAATGAATAATAATGACTGAAGGCAGCTCAGGTCTGAAACCACCAGCTATAGGAGTTTGGTGCCCTGTGGATAGATACCGGTTAGGATGGAGACTCAGCGAGGCTCAGGGAGGGGCAGCTATCTGCTGCAACCAGATGGGGTGAGGGGTTGTTACTGAATGGCATGTTTATTTCTGTTGTAACTTACAATTGCTTTTCAGCAATAAAGCTATGTTGTATCCTGGAACTCTGGCGGTTTTTACCTTCAGGTTTAGATTTGGCCAGGACACACATGCAAAGTAAGATATGTGTAGCTGCTTTGGGCCTGAAGAAGAACAGCCCAACTCCACACTCAGAAAGATAAATAAAATGTCAGTATCCTCAGCATTCATTGAAATTTGTGTTATTTTCTGCTGAGCCACAAACAGTCATGTTTCTTACCATCACTGACTAGCTTTGCTCTGTCTGCCTCTACTTTACAAAGCCATCTAACCACGACTAACCCTGACTTTGGCAGAAGTCGCCTCTCTTTATGCAGCACCCCCTGGTGATGAATAAACAAAGAGGATTGGCTTTCACGTGTTACTTTTTAGGCTCAAATCCGTTTGATGCTTGGAGGCTGACAGTGACATGAATTAATAACTCCTCCGAAATGCATTAGACCAGGGGTGTGCAACTCGGATGATCTGATATCGTCACAACAATGTGGTTGATCCTGGAACAACAGGATCAACCACATTGTTGTGACGTTATTCTTTGGCGCGCCAAGCCATTCGTGCATTTATGAAATTCCAATGTTGCAAGGACAATATCAATTCTGCTTAGTGTTTATTAAAGTTTATTAAAGGGTTAGGGTTTTACGGCGGTTTTTCCCGAAGTCGCAAAAGTATGACGTCACAACATTCTGATTGGTCACTTGCAATGTTGATCCTGGAACAACATTTACTATGTTGATCTGGGAACAACACCAACACGACGATATCAGATCGTGCGTCCAACTCCAGGCCTTAAGGGTCGGTTTCGTGCAGGTTTTAGACGTGTCCTGGATCCAACACAGCTGAATTACTGGCTAAATTGCCTCCTCAACATGTCTCGAAGTTCTCCAGAGGCCTGTAATGAACTAATCATTTGATTCAGGTGTGTTGACCTGCAGGACACTGGCCCTTGAAGCCTGGAGTTGGACACCCCTGCGTTAGACCAAAAGAGGCTTTATTGAAAATTTAAGGAGCAGAAAGTACAGATATTTGCTTAAAATATATATGGAGTAAAAGTAAAAAGTATTCAGAAAAAACCCTCAATACTCAATTAAATTACAGATATTTTTAAAATTCTACTTAAGTACAGAAACGAAATATTTGCACTTCTGTATATTTCCCACCCCTGTCCTTGTTGCTAGGATGCTGTCTTTTTCACAGCGTTGCTAGGAAACAACAAACTGAACCGAGTTTGTTTCGGTTTACAGAGCGAAATTGAGATTACTGTAACGGACGATTGGAGCTGGCTCTTCGGTGAGTTCTCGGTGTTTTAGCGGCAGTATGGAGATCGTTTATGTTTACTCGAAGCTCCGCAGCGAGTTCGGCCGTCAGTGTCTATTTTCGGATCGGCCTGCTGAGCTGCTGCTGGATCTCCTCCCGGACCCGAGCCTGACCCTCAGGTTCATCCAGAAGAGCCCCCGGGACCAGGCGGTGCAGGCATGTTGGGAGACGTCAGAGCACCAGGTGAGCCTCATCCCAGCGACACATGACCTGCAGCCACACGCGTGGAAACCAGCTTTAGCTCATTTTTACCTACTGTCTCAAGTGTGCGTTTGATTTCCAAGCGAAGCCGTAACACTTAAAGTTTAATAAATATAGTTTAATAATAAAAAAGTTGATTTCTGAGGGAGCTGTGCTTTTGACTACTGGTGCTGTACAGCAGGTCAGAGCTTTGAACTCCTCCAGTACTTTATTATCCATGTTAAGTGGACTGGCATTCCTTCTATTCAGTTTGAACATTCAGAGCGCTTCCTGCTACAAGTGTCTGCCTCGTAGTCACGCATTCATGCAGCATGTTCATCTAAACCTAAGCACTACTTTATAGCTATTCATGCACATTAAATAAAGAGCATGATCAATTCACTTACACACTCACTCTCCAGCGATGCATCGACTCAGGGTTCAGAATCTTGCCCAAGGGTACTTTGACAGGAGTAGGACTGGAGGAGTGACATAGAAAAATCACTATAATATTAGTGAAGATATGTTTTTCTTCACTTTTATCAAGTGCATTTGAGGGGGGGTTGGAGCTATTTGTTAAAATGTTGCTTAATTTTTTGTTTTGTTCTTGTTGTTTGTCTTTGCAAGACAGCCAGGACGAACTGTAGGGTTGTTTTCTATAAGCAACAAGCATGCACTGAGGTGGGCCTTTGGGTTGTTTTGGTTTTTTGTTTTTTTTTACCAGCACACGAGCAGCAGCAGGAAACAAAACTTTAAAAAAGTCACTTATTACTTCATTCCAAAAAGTTTGAATAGAGGTACAAGACCACAATATGTTACCGTGATCTGCCAGAACTTCCCAGTCCCAGTTTGTTATGTGGCCCCTTGGGAGAATTAATTTCCTGCCCCATCACAGACTGTGAGCACGATGCTGATGGTTTCCTCTCATTTTCTACTGCAGTGTTTCTTTGTAGGTTGTAAAAATGGAGATGTTCTATTTTTCTGAAAACATCTCAGGCTATTGATGAGTTTTAGAAATTATTTATTAATTGTGGACACTGTCAGATTATCCTTCTTTACACAAAGAAATGTGAATAGTCTAGAGTTATCTTGTTAGTATTGGGCTATTATGGAACAGTTAGAGTGCTCCAACCACTCTTGAGAATAACTAAAATGAGTGTTACGAGTGCGAGTCTGCAGTAATTGATCACCTACACACATCTTGAACTGGATTGCCAGATGGGTTGAAATTATATACACAGTAAATGGACTGGTTCTTATATACACAATATGTCTCATTCACCGATTCATAAAAGCACCTTTTTTTTCATCTAACATCTAAAGATGTTCACATGCAATGAATATATCAGAAAGCAATTCAGGGTTAAGTATCTTGCCCAAGAGATGCAGCCTGGAGTAGCCTGGGATTGAACAACCAATCTTCTGATTAGTGACCTGCTTTACCTACTGGGCAACAGTACACCATGTGAATTGCCTGTCTGTGTGAAGCTCAGGTGTTACTTGTTGTTTTCAGGTGAACACAGAGCGCTTTGAGACCGGAAGCTGTGGAATAAACCACGTGGAGGGGGGATGGCCCAAAGACATCAATCCTGCTGAGATGGAACAAACGATCCGTGTAAGAAAGAAGGTGGAAAAGGACGAGAGCTACATCAACAGTGTTCTGCAGCTGGGCAGGGTAAGTTTCAAATGAATCACAGCAGTCTACCGCAGTCTTACTATTATGCACGTTGGTTGGATGGATGTTTGGGATGATGCATGTTGGTTGGGTAAATGAATATTGGCGGGCCAGTTGCTGGCTATATGGATGTTTAGGTTAATGCGTGTTGGTTGGCTGGATCGATATTGAACGGATGCATGTTGTTTATGGATGTTGTGTAGCCCACAGTAACAAACAGATAAAAGTAGAAACCTTTTGTTGGAATTATTACTCAAGTGGTAAATGCATTTAGATGGAAAAACCTTTAAACTCTAAAGCAAAACTCAAATTAAATAATTGTATAAAATTAAGTTATTGTTGTGTTTAAAACACTTTATTGTTTGTTGTTTATTCATTTTTGTTTAACAATTTTTATATTCTAATAATGTAATAATGCCTAATAATGTAATTTAATTTTTAATCAATGAGATTTGTTGTCCTGCCTTTAACTTTTTCCTGTTCAGTTACA